TCTTCCCTTACATCTTTTGGAACAATTTCATGTCTTCCTTTAGTTAATTCACCAACCCAGCTGAGCTCGAGTTCAAAAGCTTTATCCTTAACTTCATCATGTACTATGTAAATTATTTTCGCAACTTCTTTAACAACATCACGGCAGGTCATTTCTTTCATCTGAAGCTTCTCTATTTCTGTCTTTGCCGCTTGCCGGGCTTTACCAATAGCACAGCCCCAATAACCGTATGAAACACCTGAAGGGTCGATCATGTAGAGTTGTGCACCATCATTCACACTGTAAGACCCAAGCATGAAACTGCAGCCGAAGGGTCTGACGGCACTGTAGAGTGTGTAAGCATGTGCATACATGGCCACTCGGACTGCAAGATGTTTCAGTGGAATGTTATAGCCATAGTTAGATCTAAAGTTGGAAGCTTCTTCTCTTGCTATATCTGCTAAAGACCGAGCATCCGCCAGCAAACCTGCTACTGCCATCCCAACATGCCAATCAACGTTAAAAAGTCGTTTGTTGGAACCTTCTTCGTAAAGTTTAGAAAGAACTAATTTTTCTACCCCAAAGACAACACCGTCTTTGCATCTGATCCCAATAGCTGTACTACTATTTTTCACAGCCTTCATAGCATATTCAACTTGAAAAACTCTTCCATCAGGAGAGAATGTAGAGGCTGATAGATCATACCCAGTTCCGATCGAACTCATCTTGTCCAAACCACCAGAGCGCGTTGGGAGTCCAGGCCCAAAGCCTAATTTACCTTTGTGTTGAAAAGGTTTCAATTTTATCTCTTGCTGTTTGGAGTTTAATCTTAGTCTGTGTGGACTAGTACAACAAAAGACAGAAAACAATCATAAACTGTGTGGCTTATACACAACAGAAATTTATTTCTTAACTCTTCTGCAGTCAAGGAATTCTATGATAAAGGTACCATCAGATTGGTTATCTAGTGAGTCCCCACTTCCTGGTATGTATCCTGGTGTGTATATGGCCATCTTTTTCCACATGGCTGGTTGAACCACGGACTTTGCTGACCCCCTTTTATAGGGACACTGATGGGCTTCTAATAGTATTATCTGGCAGGATTAGGAATTCTACATACAAATTTGGAAGAAACATATTCGGCTATATCAGGTCTTAAAACATTTCTAATTGGCAAGACCCCCAATTTCTAGAATTTCCCTATTCTCTTTTATTTTTAAATATCTTATCTTTATCTTTTATTATTAAATGAACCTGAGCTGTTCTTTCCTTAGTTCATCTCTTTTTTAGAGTACATTGTTAGATACACCGAAAAGCAGCTTACACATACCACTGATGTTTTGTTTTCAAATTTCATCTTCTAAAGCTACAGATTTATTATGTTTTTGCTCAGGAAACAGTTTTTATAAATACTTCAACACTTCAAAATGAGGGAACTCATTTTTGTCACTTGCAGTGGTCATTTTTACTTCATTACCATTAAGCCAGGGCCTCATAGTTTTAGTTTTTGCTAGAAACCTACTTCTATCACAAATGTATGCACATTAGTAGTATCAGCTAGCCTATGCTGCCTATAATATTAGGTTTATTTCTTGTTCTCATGTGCTGCCTCTGTCCTACATGATCACTCAGGGACCCAGCCTTTATTCCATCATCTCTCATTTGTCCCATTATAACAAACCACCCCAGCACCTACTGGCTTCAGGTAACAGTAGAGGATGACCTTTTAGGATTTGGAGAGTTGGCTGAGTAACTTTTCTACAGGATGAGGTGGGGATCACCCACACAGCTGCATTCAGCAAGAGAGCTAGCTAAGGAATGGGTTCGGGGGGAAGGGGAGGTCCAGACGGCCCTCTCACCAAATGGTTCTCTTTCTCTGGGAGGCTAGACCAGGATTCTTCACATTACAGCAAGAGGGCAGGCCCAATTAGCAAGCTTCTTATTTACCAAGATCATAGTTATATAACCAAGTTCAGTGTCAGTACCAGAAGGGGCTACACAAAAACATGGATACTGGGATGTGCAAATAATCATGTAACAAGTAGTCTGTCACTGTTACAAGAGGAGTCCCTTAACTTTTTCTGTGCCATTTAGTGTTTTAGGCTTTATAGGCCGTACAATCTGTTATAGCTTCTCAACTCTTATTAGACAGAAACCATTTAATGGGTAAATTAAATGAACCTAAGGATGTTCCAGGAAAGCTGTATTTTCATCAACACGACCAGACTGGGCCCATCACTGGCCTGGAACAGAAAGCATTTGTCAAGTCTCTTCAGAGGGAAAAAAAGGTGGCTCTTGGCCTGCAAATGACACATCACTTCATCCTTTTAGTCACCAGACGAGACTATTACATGGCCACACCTAACTACAAAGGGTTGGGAATATAGTCCTGGTTTGTAGGAAGGAAAGGGGAGCTGGACTAACATGAGCAGAAGTCTGTGCCATTGGAGGGAGTTTTCAAAGTTGTCTCTTTAGATCATCTGCCTTCCTGTAGTGAGTACCAGGCACTGGTTACAAATACTAAAAAAAAAAAAAAAAAAAAAAAAAAAAAAAAAAAAAGAACATAAAACTGTTTCATTCATGGAGCTCACAGCTAGAACCCAAGTCGGAGAAGTATGCTGTATACCTGTGCTCTGGAACTCTTAATTTCAATTTACTGTTTGTACAACTGGCTTTTTCACCAATTGGAATATTGGCAATTTCAGTGTATCATTTTATTTTCTCTGATAGCTGATGTTTTGGGAGTGCTGTTAGGTATTTGTCATTGAATAGATAGAATGATTGAATGCTCAAACCACTAGACTAAGACAAGGATTTCCTGTTTCTGAGGTCCTGGATATAGGTACCTAATTTTTTTGTCTCCTAGGTACCTCGCTCCCCAGTCACTACAGGTACACTGTACAGAAGGTAGGAGTTGTGAGTTGTGATTTTGGCCTCTGTGAGTCATACCTGTAAGAATGAGCAACTGGAGGCACCACAGGTCAAACTCAGTTTCTTCCATTCTCATCACTGGGGCAAAGAGACAGCCAGCAAAATCTCTGCAGAGTTCAGGTTTTGAGTCAGAAGAAGTGCCTTAAAAGTTTAGGTTAATTATCTTGCTTTCAGTAGTCCCTAAAGCAGTTTACAAAAACCATCCATTTGTTTATATTATAACATCTAAGTATCCTCATTTCATCATGCCAGAAAGTTAACTCTGAAAACGAACAGAACAATATTTTTCTACTATGATCCTCTTCTCCCCCCCTTTGAGGGAAGTTCTGGATTTTAGCACTGTGTTAAAACTTGGATTATGCACTAAAGTTATGGTTAGTCCCTAAGAAAAAGTGACATCAATGGGAGCATAGAATGCTGAAAAGTTTTATGCCAAATGAATATACCATATATTGTCACGTATAAAAAAGTAATTAGCCACAGGATGGCCTTTATAAATGGGACTTTTTTCAAAGAACATTCATTTGGTTTTGTTAGATTCATTAAAATTCCAAATTTTATCTGTCAAATTCATTGTTTAGAATCCTTTAAAACATATTTTTGCACAACCATCCATTTGAGAGATGTGTCCATAGAGAATACAGATAAACTGATGCATTCTTGCTCTCAAGAATTTCATAATCCAGTGATTGAGTCAAATCTGTCTATAAAAAGCCAACTAATATGCAAGCAATAAAATTTTTGACCAAATAAAGTGTGATTTCAGTGCTTATAAATATAGAGGTGTCAAAACAAACAAGGGAATAGAAAAATTAGAAAATATATTCAGAGAATAAGGTATCCTTTAAGCTGTATATGACATATGCACAGGACTTCAAAAGGACTTATGTAGGAGAGAAAGTGCATTCTAGGCACAGGGAGTGGTGAGTGGCAGGCAGGGCCCTAGACTAGGACAGCAGGCAGACAGAGCATGGATGAGCTGGTAGGAGCTGAGCTGCTGGGTGAAAACAAAGAGGCAGAGATGGTATTTGTGCGGCCTGGATGTTGAAGATGGGCAGGATTCTACGGGAGGAAGCAATTGCACAAGAAAGAAGCCCAGTGACGAAATTGCTTCCACACGTGAATCTAACTTCCTTCCTGTAGATCTAGGTGTATTCTCTGATACTTCTTTCTGTGGTCAAAATTGGAATACATTAATTACTTTCAAGCAAGTACCAAGTTTCATTGCTTTCTTCAGGGATTGTCAGTCTTCTTTTATTTGCTGTCCTGACAGCAAGGGTTTTGACTTGGACTGCATTAATATTGCAAGTCATCAGAATCAGCTTTCCCAGGCACAAGGAGGTTTTGCTCCTGCTCTCAGGTAATCCTGGCTGTGAACATGATGTACTTGTAGTTGTTTTGCACATAGTTGTGTTATGTTTTCAAATATTTATCCATTTAAAGCAACATTGGTATTTAATGCTGAAAGGACATCTGTTCTCCTGGCCCGGCACCTGGCTTCTCAGATTGAATTTTTTTTAAAAAAAAGTTAGTTCACCTTCTTATGGTAGAATAATTAATTTTGACTCTAAGCAAATTACTTTATCTAAAATGGTTCTTGCAATTGCGTATGAAACCTTGGGGTATTATGATATGTGTTACTGCTGGGCTTGAGAGTATGTTTTTTTTTGTGGCTGTCATGGAGTGGCACCCCTGTGGTAAGTTAATACTCAAGAGCCTCAAAACTTTTCACACCTTGAATTTCAAGTCCCAAATTTTAGCACTTTTTCCACAGAGATTCATATGCATACATAAATCTTGCCCCAGAACTGGGGCAAGATTAATCTTGCCAATTCTAAAGAAGCAGAGAGTGAAGACACTCACGCCCATCATCCATCATTTTTTTTCCTATGAATCTTAACAGCTGGATATTGAAAGGTCTGGACTTGATTTTTTTTTTCAGTTGAAGTCAACTGAGTAGCCAGTACACATAAAGAAATGTGACCAGGAAGTATTTGTGATACTGAATGAGAACTTGAGACGTTTGAAGTGAGCCATTTCAGTAATGCTCTTATTTCTTTTTAATCAGATTCTGAACATTCTTTTTACAGGTTGTGTTCCTTACTGGCTTTGGCTATGTGTATGTGGACATTGTCCATCAGTGTGGCACAGTATTCATCACTGTGGCCCCAGAAGGAAAAGCAGAACCTATTTTAACCCATACTAACAGGTAGGCTTAATTATTTCCCAGTAATGGTATGTAGTAAGCTTTCCTATTATAAAGGTGTTAACCTATTGCCTTTTTTAAAAAAAATCTTCCTATACATACTAAAGCTTTCGTTAATTATTATGTACTCCATAATTGTGTATTGCCTTTCCTGGGTCTTCCTTCCAGTTCTTCCTTGATGTTCAGCAAACAAATTTAGAAGATAGGAATAAAATGCAAGTTAGTATTTCTATATCCACAGACACCTTAGTAACTAGCTTAGCAATTAGAGCTATACCAAATGTAAAAATACCTATTAGAGCCGCATTTGCCCCATTTAACCCAAGAAGTGCCATCAGGTTTTAAAAACATGAACCAGGGAAATAATTAATATCCTTAACTTAAAAGAACTCATATTGTACAATAGAAATAATACAGCAGTATTCCCTCATTCCAAAAGCAAGAGAAAAAGCATGAACAGAAAATTCTAGAAGAGAAATTACAAGTAATCAAAGAGATGCACAGGGAGGGGTGAGTGGCAGGTGAATAACATCAAATTAACACTGATCCATTATATGCCATCCTGGTGAAAGTGCGGATTGGAGCTATTTTCTAGAAAATACTTTAGCAAGATATATATTAAGGTCTTTAAGTTCTTTTCATCTAGAAACTCCACTTTTAAGAGCGTTAAGAAAAGGGCTGGAGATACAGCTCACTGGCACAGCACCTGCGTGGCAAGCTCAAGGTCCTGATTTTGACTCATGATGCCGAAAAAAAAAAAAAATAGTTAAGGAAGTAATGTAATAAGTAGGCAAAGGTATACAGTGCACAGAAGTTTATTCCAAGGTTGATTATGATTATAACAGCAAAATTTCAGAGTACATATGGTCATCAGTAAGGAAATGGATGATAAATAAATATGCCATAAATTGTACATCATAAAAATAAAAGTCACAGAATTTTAATGAAAGAATGTATATGGTATAAACTAAAGAAAAAAGAATATTGAATATATAAATATCCTGATTATGTCATTTGTACATATAGAGACATAAATACATATATTTATACATAAAGATATGTAAGATTCTTAGCAGTAAGATTGTTATGGAGCTAAAAGAAAATAAATAAGGGTGAAAAGAAAAGAAACAATCAAATTGTCAATAATATAGTCCTAACTGCTTATTTAATAGTCTATGTTTTGTTTTGTTTTGTTTTGTTTTGTTTTGTTTTGTTTTGTTTTGTTTTTGTGTGTGTATTTGGTACAGAGTCTCACTATGCAGCTTGGACCCATAGTGATCCTCCTGTTTTCAGGCTCCCCAGTGCTGGGATTACAGGTCTGCACTACCACACCTGGACTGGGTTGTTGGCTTAGCACACCCAGGGGCCAGCACAGCATGTGGTGCCAGAGATCGAACCCGAGTCCCTGCTCTTACCTAACTAAGCAGGCGCTTAGTCTGCTGAGCTACCTTGCTGGCCCTAGTCTATGTACTTTTGTTTTTCTGACCATAAAAATTAATTTACAATACAAAATAATAATAATGTTTTCATGCATTTGTCTCAAGCTGCTTTTTAAAAATGTTGCTCACTTTTCATGTATGGCTAAGAACTCATTAGCTTGGACCATACTTTGAATTGTAGTATTTCAAGCAATGTTAGATAGAATGTTTTCTTTACCTATAGTGTTTATGTAAAAAAAAAAAAAAAATTAATAGTATAACAAAACTCAAGACCAAATTTTAAATTGTATAGTGCAAAATTTCAAGTCTACACAACAATTTTAGAAACATTTTTTCTGGGGCATAAACCTTAATGACAATAGCCACAACACATTTACTGGCAGATACAATAAGAGCAGTTCAGGTACTTACTTATACTTCTTTGATTCATTTATTCAACAAATATTTTTCAAGTGCTTACTGATACCAGCTACAAGCATGGAGATATATCCATGAATAAAAAAATCAGAACCCCAGCCCTTAAATATATCAATAAATAAATAAAACCCCAGCCCTTGAAATTACTTTCTCGTAGGCATGGGAGGAGATTGTGCCAGAGAAGACACACAATAAAAAAAGAAAACATTAGGGTACAATAGAAGGTCACCATTCTACAGGGATAAAAACAACTGAGTAAGAAGAGCCAGGAATGTCAGGAAGAATATAGTTTTAAGGAAACTTATATAAGAAAGCCGTATAGAAAAACTGTCATCTGAATGGGGATGTGAAAGCAGCAAGGTAGTTAGAAATGTGATCTTCTAAGAAACACACATCCAGACCACAGGCCAAGCCAGCCAAGGCCTAGAGCAGCATGCCTGGCAGGTAGCGGGCAGGACAGGTAAGGTGTCTTAGTGCAGTGGGTGAAAATGAAAATCGGGGCACATGGGACCAGAAATATATGGACAGGAAGGAAGTTCTCACCTGGTGTGAGAACTTGTAAGCCATTGTAAAAGTTAAGCTTAATTCTAAATGAAATGAGGAAGTCACTGGAGCATTTTAAGCAGAGTTCATATGATTTTATTGATGTAGAGCGGAGAAGCAAAGGTGTAAAGCAGGAAAATTATTATGAAGAGTAGAAGATTATTGAAGTTTTTCACACTGGCTTAGACCACTGTGATCTCAGTGGGAGTAGTAATACAATCCTATCCCACAGATGATTGAGGAAGCAGGTGGGATTTCTCAGATACATTGGGTAACAGTTTAAAATAGAGGCATCAAGGGATGACTTCAGGTTTTTTTTAATCTGGACTAAGTGTGGTAGTACATGCCTATAATCCCAGAACTCAGCCAGCTGAGGCAGAAAGATCATAGTGAGTTTGAAGCCAACGTAGGCTACATAGTGAATTCAAGATGGCCTGAGCTGTATGAGACCCTCTCTGTCTCTCTTCAGCAACAGATAGGATTTAGTTGCCATTAACTGAGATGGGAAACACTATGTAGCATAGGGGGTAAGATCAGGATTTGGTTTATTGCCATAAGAGCTAAAAAGTCATGTAGATATGTCAGTAACCATATAGCTAGGCATTTAGGTATAGTGGATTGGAATCCAAGAGAGTTCTAGGCATCAGTGCATAGGTAGTATTTTAAGCAACTAGCCTGGCTGACACTCAAAGGAGGCCAGTGGCAATGGTGACAAGAAGATCTCCAGGAGAGAGCCATGGACCCTTTTAAGTTTCAGGGGTCTGGGAGAGAAGTGGTTCACATCAATGACTGAGGACAAAGTGATCAGAGAGAAAGATCTGAGAGCAAACATGTAAAGAAAGTGTGTCCAGGAGGAGGGAGCTGCTAACAGTGCCGAACACTATCAGTAACTTGAGGACAACCCTAAAAGTCCATCTTTTACCTTAGCCAAATGGAAGTTACTGGTGACCTTGAGGAGAGTTGTGTTACCAAACTAGAAAGGGATCAAAGACCTGCATGGAGCGAGCTTCAGAGAGAAAGTAAGGAAAGGAATAGGAGATAATGTATAAGGATCAGAAAAATGGTGGCTACAGAAGAAAGTGGAGTTTACAAGAGGAGTTTTCTAGGATAAGAGAAATCAGCATGTTTACAAGCTGCTGGTAATGAAGAAAAAGATGATACAGGACAGGAGTGTATCGCTGCAGTGATGACCCACAGCAGGTGAGTGCTCTTCCTTCTTCTGAGGAAGAGCACAAGGGTCAGCTCAAAGGGGTCCTGCTAGTGGGGCACAGAGATAGTGGGGTTCTTGCTGACCTCTCTTCTACTGCCCCACTATTTTAACTCAAGAAATTTCATTTATTTTATTTATCTTTCTGTCTTGTAGTAATCATGACAGAAAAATCAGTATACAAAAACTAGGGAGATTTGGGAGTAAAAAAATCTGGTGTTGATAAAGGAAACACTACAGAAACATGACAAGAACTTGTAATAGTCTCATTGGGAACATTTCCCAATACTGTTAGAGAGTGCCTGGCTCCATCCAAAACACAAATTGAGTTCTCATTTGTTTCTTATGAGAATCTGATGAGAATCAGGAGGTGTTTAATAAGGCACTGTCATTATTAGAAAGGAAAGTAAGAAAGACTAATGTTTCTTCTCTGTCTCCTCTAGAACTCTGGAGAAGATGATCATCTTTAACGTATTTGTCACTCAGTTCAGCCTGGCAGTGTCCGATGACCTCACCCACCACAGAGCATCATCTGAGCTTCTGAGGCTCACTCTGGACAATGTTTATCTGCACATGGCACCTGTGACTGGTGCCTTTCCTGGAGAAGAGCCTGCTGTGGCACTCTTCCATCTTTACACTATGGAGATCTGCTGTGGGGACCTGCAGTTAGACAACCAGCTATATAACAAGTCCAATTTCCACTTTGCTGTCTTGGTCTGTCAGGGAGAAAAAGCAGACCCTACCCAGTGTCTAAGAGTTTCCAGTCTCTTTCTCTCAAATAGAGATTTGGAAAAATACAAGGAGAATTGCTTTATCAAACTTTGCATCACTTTAACTGAGGGCAAGAGCTTCCTACTTAATGTCAGCGAGCTCAGTTTTGAGCTGAAACCTGCCCGGTTATATGTGGAAGACACATTTGTGTACTACATCAAAACTTTGTTTGACACCTACCTTCCTCACAGCAAGCCAACTAATCACACCTCACAATTCTGTCACGGTGCCCAGGTGTTGCCCCTGCAGGTGAGACAACACGCTAGGGCCTTGGTAAACCCAGTGAAGTTACGGAAACTGGTGATACAGCCAGTGAATCTACTCGTCAGCATCCATGCTTCCCTCAAGCTGTACATAGCCTCGGACCACACTCCTCTCTCCTTCTCTGTATTTGAAAGAGGACCCATCTTCACCACCCCAAGGCAGCTCGTGCATGCCCTGGCCATGCACTACGCCGCAGGAGCTCTTTTTAGAGCAGGTGAGGACACAAGCTTAGAGTCTGGTGAGCTAGAGCCTGAGTAAAAATGACATGCTTTGGCACAATGCCTTATCTGTGACAAGGCGTAAAGTAGTAATGGGTGGGCAGTGACGCACATAGGCTTCACAGTTAAGCAAAACTGAATCTAAACCTAGACTCTACTACTGTTTGATATAGAACTTTGGGCAAGTTACTGAAGCCTCTGAGTTTCAGTGTCCCTTCTAGAAAGCAAGTTTTATGATTGTTGAGAGGATCATATGTCAAGTGTCCAGTGTTTTGCTTAGCATTTAATGAATATTCAAGCAATAGTAGCTGTAATATTTTAGCTGTTAATAGAGCTTAGAATTTAATTCAGTTTAGCAAACATTTTTAATACCTTGCAGACATAAAATTTTCTTAGCACACTAGTGCTAAGAAAACTATCCCAGGTCTTCAGCCCCGGTGCCTAAGAGAAATCCAGTTCTAGGGCATTAGTTTCCTTCATTGCTATTCATGAATAGCTGTAGGTGAGAAATTCAGAGGATCTGTGTGCTCCTAAGATGCACAAAGAGCCTTCTGCATATCCTGAGCAGCAGCACTGTCTAGACAGACCTCAAAGAGAAGGTTGTTGGTGTCTCAGCCTCTCCACAGACCTGAGCTCAAGAGGAAAAGTGACCCTGTTCATCCTTCCCACCCTCTGCGCCAGGTTGGTGGCCTCCCTCAGGCAGAAGGCTGCTGTTTCTCAGGGCTTCCCTTTCCAGTCTGGCTGGAACTCTGCAAAGGGTGATTTAATAAGTATACAAAATCCTGTATGGGGAGTACTGTGTATTGAAGATTCATTGTTAGGAACCATGTGGTCTCAGAGTACTTTACAGTAATAGGCATCAAAACTTGTGTTCCTGAGCGAAGTTCACTCTAAAACAGTTTTACTGTGGGCCTTCATGTCCTAAAACTTCAAGCAGAGACCATCATCTGGAGCTGTTGGCCTGCTTTCCTGGCACTCTCCAGGAAAGAAATGGAAGTCCAAGTTTCTAAAATTGACAAGGGCAAGAATCTCTGTTCTTCTCTGTGATCTTGCACTTGGCAAATGCATTCCCATAGATGATTCAGATTGTAGCCAAAAAAGAAAAAAAAAAAAATCCATGTTATCATTGATAACTTGCCAGTAACTGCCATTTTGGTGAGATTGTATCTCCTTCATAATGAAATTCATGTTGATAGGGCAATCCAGACTCTTTGTAAAAGAAAATAACAAGATCAGAGAGAGGCCCTGTGAGACCTGTTGTGATAGTTTGCACAACAGTGAAGGAAATGCTTCTGTCTTACTAAGAAATCACTGAAAAATAGGCAGTTAACACTTCAAATTTAATAGATGGGTATATTTACAAACCATTCTAGAAATGTACCCTTTTAGGCAATCTTACTTTTAACATGAGAAGGAGACATGTAGGTTACTGAGCTCTGATCTGAGGCCAGGGGAGGAATAAGGTTCCGTCCAGTCCCTGCATGGTGCCAAGGTGCTAGAAGCACCCAGCTGTGTGATGAGCTGGAAGAGAAACTCCACCTGTGGCCCCAAGTGGCCATGGCCCCTGCAGCCTGTGTGCTCAAAGTGATTTCTTTGTTTTGTGCTTTTAATAAGCTTTCCAAACAAGAACATTCTGTTTGGATTTTTGATAATTCATCTAAAAATCCTCTTGCTGTCCCAACTTCACTATATACAAGGACAAGAAATTCTAACAGAGCCAACTTTTTAGAGCCTGTTGGAAACTCTTTCCTGAAAAATCTCTGATTATCCTTAGGATGATCCTTACATCCCTGTTAAAGCGCCTGTTGGGGCTAAAAAAAAAAAAAAAAAAAAAAAAAAAAAAAAAAAAGTGTGGCCAATCTAAGACCCTTCTGAAAGAAAGTAGTAACTGAAGGAATGGAACTAGCCAGAGGGAGAGAAACCCTATTAGACTAAAGCATTTGTGTAGTAGAGGACTGCCTGGGAGGGAGCAGTTGGCACTTTTATCATCATGTGAAACAGTGCTGGCTGCAGTAGACAAGAACACCTGACCTCAGTTCTAAAAAGTAGGTAGAGTCATTTGAAGAGGTTTATAAAATAGTTAATGATAATGAGAAATGAAAGTGGGTTTGAGAATTCCTGAGATCCCTGTCTACCTGAAAGTTTCAATTTGATGGCAAGTCAGACAGGCCCTTTCCTTTGTCAGAAAACTTTCCTAACAACTAAACACAAGAAACTGTAAACACAAATATACTCTGTATCTGTAGGACATGAATCTGTGGGCTCAACTAACTGTACATCATAAGTGTTTGAAAAAAAGAATTGTGTCCCTATTGAACAAGTACAGACTTTTTTTCTTGTCATTACTTCCTTCAGAAATACAGTGTGGGGCATGGGGAGATAGCTCAGTGGTCTAAGCAACTGCCTGATAAGCACAAGGACCCAAGTTCAATCTCTAGTACCTCATGCCCTGCCAGTCCTGAAACCAGGCGTGTTGGCACACATCAGTAATCCCAGCATTGGGGAAGCTGAGACAGGAGGATCACTGCAAGTCTGAGCTGCATAGAGTGATCCTGTAACCAAATAAATATTTTTAATTTTTTTTTGAAAATACAGTGTAAAACTAATGACACAGCATTGATATTGTATTAGTTATTATAAGTGATCTAGAGGTGGTTTACAGTCTAAGGGTATGTGTAGTTTGGTACTACATTGTTTTAAATGAAGTAATTGAGCATCCTCAGACATTGGTGGCTATGTTGGATCCAGTCCTCTATGGATAGATGGGTGATTGTGCTCACTTTTAGAAGAAAATAATTGTAGGAGGCTTACCCTTGGGTACTTTCTGCCATTTTCTGGCCAGATGCTATTAGGATACAGCTCTGGTCCACAGGTAGTGATGCTACTAGGATATAGCTCTGGTCCTTTAGCTAGTGGCTCAGATGTCAGTGGTTATAACCCAGAGGCTCTCAAGCCAGCCTTCAGCTAGTTAGGAGCTGGAGCCATGACTGGGACCTCTCTGCATGCCTTTGTGCTGCCGGACTAGGATACCACTCAGAGCGGCTTTGCTTGGCAAGAGTGATCCTTTTTTCTTTAAATGTCAAGTCTTTAGAGAGAAAGCTCATGTCTTCCTGTCGATCCTCACATTGATTCCAGGCTAAAGGGAATCTGTTTCTTTACATTCAAAGAAGGGACAACATTCTACAACTTCCCAAAGCACCCAGTCTTCTTTCAACTCCTTGCAAAAAGTCCTCCTGTGCCTGGGCTGGAGGGTGGGAGACTCTTCAGGACCCAGGCCTGGCTTTTACACTAGCACCTTCTGGATCCTCTCACGTTAATTCCTGTACTGAGGATCTCTGTCACAGGAGTCCTCTGGAGGCTAGCTGCTGAGAGATGATGGCTGCCACACAGGACTTGTCCTCATGGCCTTAGCAGTAGAAGGCCCAGCACAGGGCTGAGGAGGTCAGTGGATTCCCGGAGGAAGTTGCCTTTCTAGATTCCTCCTCTCCTTGGCCCTTAGCCCCTGCCTGCTCTATAGTCCCTGGGCTCCCAGCCTGCAGGAGGGGCTGGGCAAAACCTCATTCCCACGAGGCACAGACTGTAATCAGGCGCTGAGCAGGCCAGCTCCTGGCAAGCCCAAGCTTAAATAAGAAACCAGATCCACAGCTGCCCCCCTACCCCCAGGACATGACAGGGAACACTCCCCTCACACTAACCCAATCAGTGTGTCCCTGTCACTGGTGTTTATACAACCAAAGCTGGGGCTGAAGGGGAGACATTTGTCTGGCTCTAGCTCTGCTCCAAAGGGAAGCACTCAACTTGGTAGGATTGGGAAAGATTAAAAATAACTCCTCCATCCTTGTCAGAAGTTTGCATCCCCTTTGCAGCGTTCCATTTTGCATCTGGCCTCTCCCCCAGCCACTCAGTTTCTCCTCCTGCTGCCCACTGCCCCCTGCTGCCCCAGCCTGCCCATGTGCACCTGCCTAAGGCTGGAGGAAGTATCCTCAGCACATGGGTCCCTGTTGCCACAGCACACAAAGCTTGGCAAAAAAGTCGTATTAAAGCCATTTGTGAGGCTGCCAGAGGATTGCTTTGATTTATAATGTATGAAAGTTCACTATTTATGAATTCACAGTGAATGAGTTACTTCCCGTATTTTACGCTGAAGAAGCTTATTACATTCTCAATTCTACTGTACAAAATGAATTGCAGGGAAACTGGCCTGCTTGTTACAAGTGGTGAAAGTACGCATACCAGGCTTCCGTAACTCTCATTCCCGTCCATTGTAGGCTGGGTGGTTGGGTCCCTGGAGATCCTTGGTAGTCCTGCGAGCCTGGTGCGAAGTGTGGGGACCGGCATTGCTGACTTCTTCAGACTGCCCTATGAGGGGCTGACCCGAGGCCCCGGCGCCTTTGTGAGCGGCGTTTCCCGAGGGACGACATCCTTTGTGAAGCACATTTCCAAAGGTAGCTATGCTGTTCCTTATGCTAGTGCCTGTATTTTGTTCCTTGCCTGCTATACTTTTTCTCTGTAAAGAACTGTTGAAGATTTGAATGCATTTACATTGCCTCTAGCTTTGCTTGGCTTGTTAGCTTGCAGTGAAATATTGCCTTGGAACAAAGCTCATATATAACGTCTTATGTTTTAAACAGATCACTGCTTACTGGTAGTGTGTGAAAATGTTTCAGAAACTTTAGAATTTTAAACCTCCCATTGGGAAAACAAGCATTGGCTCAACTGTTATTCCATGTGATAAATATAGAAATATTAAAGGTGTTCAGGATTTCTGCTAAACATCAGAAATCCTACACTGTGTTGCTTCATCATATTTTTTTAATGTAGATACAGTTGTCATAACTTTCTTAAGGATATGGACACGTTTTGACGTGGAAGCTGATTTAAAGGTGAACAGGCCAACTTTTCTCTACCATGGTATGTAAACAGTGCCATCTTGTGGCCCAGACAGGTCGCCAGGCACCAAGGCCAACCTTCTCCCCATCAGAATGTTTTCATTTCATCTGTGTGTTTGCTTGATGATATTTTGGTCAGGTTGGCAGTGACTCGGGAACTAACAAGGGCCATCTGAGTCCCCTTTTCTTCTCAGTAGGAGGCAGGGAAAGCAAGGCAAAGGCCTCCTTCCCCATAAAAGGCATTTTACTGCAGACAGTACTGCACTCCCTTATGAGTGGGCAGATTGTGGAAGTCACTAGAAGGCCTCAAAAGAAGACTTGAACTTGAAATCGGAGAACCTATGATCCGTTGAGAGCAGGGGGAGTGCCTGGGTTGGGGCTGTTAAGAGAGTAGCAAGAGCAATCAAAACAAATTCCACAGACGATGAGAAGGACTTGCATGGGGGCCTGGGAGTCAGGCTCCACTCACCAGATGAGTCCCTAGCGGGCTTCTCACTCTTGACACTGGAATCTCTGTGGTTCTGTTGTTTTAATTTTAAAATGCAACAACCAACACCTGCTAAATTGAACCTCAGCAGTCATTTTAACCTTCTGAGTCATTGAGGGCTTTTTTTTTTACACTGGTTTTCTCCTCTTAGCAAGATCTATTTGGTTTGTATGTGTATGGTTAAAGATGCAGCTACAAAAATGTCTTCTACATTTCTTCTTCAAGCTAGATGTCTATAGCAGAGGAGCTCGCTACCTCATGACATGCCCACCTGTGTCTTCCACTCTTGTCTGTGTGGACCTGCTAAGGGGCAAGACCTGCTCTGAGCAGGTGGCTGAAGCCACTTCCTTCTGCAACGCAGGCAGAATGGGGCCTTGCCCCTTTGTTCTCCTTACTTCTTCTCAGCAAACTTCCTGAATGAAAATTGCACATAATCCCTGTGGGCATAACTATTTCCTCAGAACATCAAATGATAAAACTTCATGTCTCCCTTTATTAAACTGAAATAATAAGATGAATGTTATTCCTGAAGAGAAACATTTCCTCATAATCTATCTAAAAAACTAGCATTACAACCTTTAAAAGCAGAGCAGGCAAATTGGAGCCTTCGAAGTTGTGCCTCAATGAGGACTTCACAACTGTTTAACAAAGTCTTAATCAAACAATAGGAGGACTGTGAAATTTTAGGGCTCTCCCTGGCCACAGAAAGTCCTGCTTTCATCTGTACCTCATTTTCTTCAGGCTCCATCCCTCCCCAGTGGCCATACCCAAAAAGGACCTAAGTGCTGCCCTTCTCATACCCCCACTCCCACCAGACCTACAAGCCACAGCCCTGGGACCCATGTGCATGTGACAGGGAGGCCAACCCTGTGCTCTTCTGTCCTCAGGTACCCTCACATCCATCACCAACCTGGCCACCAGCCTAGCCCGGAACATGGACCGGCTCTCACTGGATGAGGAGCACTACAACCGCCAGGAGGAGTGGCGGCGGCAGCTCCCCGAGAGCCTAGGCGAGGGACTACGACAGGGCCTCTCCCGGCTGGGCATCAGCCTGCTCGGTAAGGGACTGTGGGCACTTGGGTATGGGTGTCTGTCTGCACAGGGCTGTGGGCTCTCCCGGGGTCTTTGCCTTTGCCTTTTCCCTAGGCATGGCTGTGAAGTTCATCTCCTCTCTGTGGACAAGGGAGACTCGAAGAGCCTAAGGTACTCTCCCCGTTGCCTACAGCACATCCTGAGGGCCTGGGACAGGACTCCATTTCCCAGAGCCACCATGTGGCTGTGACAGGGTCATCCCAGGGCCTACACAGACACTGTGTTCTGCTTTCCTGTCCCTCTGCAGGAAATAACAGCATGGACCTCAGCAAAGTGGTGTCCACACCAGGACAGCAGTATTCAGCTTTGGCTTTGGGAAGTGGGTGACAGGCAGCCTTCCTGAAGCCCTCACCTGCTCCCTACTCCCTCAGCACTTGAGTAGCGTGCATAGGTCACGCAAACCTTGGCAAGGAGCCTGCTTCTCCTTTCGTGTATTTTTATTTATTTTGAGATCAGCCTGGCTCAGAGTAATTATTGTTTGTCAAGCATCTGAATGGTGTGGTTAAAGGTGAAGATTGCTATGGATATTTCAAAATATTACAAATACTTGAAAATACATTGCTTTAGAAAGATCTGTTAAAAAGAAAGACTCAGAGCTGAAAGGACAGTGCAGGATTTCCAGGGTAATTTTGTTTATTTGCTTGCAAAGAAATCTGAAACTGTACTGCCTGGCAGCCTCCCTTCCACGTGTCCATGGGAGTGCACGCCTATGGAGATCAAAGTGACCAAAGCAGGGCAAGCAGAGGGGAGCAAAGAGGAACTTGGAAGTCTTCATCCCAGCTCTGCCTTCTGTTCTGCACAGCAGCTCAGCCTGTCTGCAGCTCAGCCAGCCACGGCAGTGGGAGGAAGTAGTAAAATGTTACAGAGCAGGTGAGGTCACTAGAAATGTCTGCAGTACTGACAGAGAGTGCTGTGGTGCACAGCATTTGATAATGCGTGAAAATGGAGAAGCTCATTGCCTGCCGGGCAGAGGAGCAACCTACAGGTGATGGCACTCCTTTGGAGGTAGCTCATGGGGGGCCACGTCACTCAGGATCCTGGGCCCCAGCCTGTCTTCGTGGCATTGGGCAAGTTCTTCCTTGACCCTGGTTTCTGTTTTATAAACTGGAGCTGGTAATACAGTTACTAGAAGTAACGAGGGGTGTTGGGCAGACAGAACCTGTCATATTATTTCATGGCAACAAAAGAATTGTAAGAGGTTTGTGATTTTGAAGAATATCCCACCAAAGAGGGGCACTTAAGAAATGGCAGGCACATTCTTGCTTTAGTTTAGTTCAATGAATTAACTTGCTATGCCCGAAGAAAGGAACAATGAGGCTATTTGGGGATTTAAGATATTTTTATTCTAGGGATTACAGGCTTAAATGCCCTCGCCTCTTGGCATGAGAGTTTCATCCCCCCAATCAAGCGCTTCCTGAAACTTTCAGTAGACAGTTATCTGAGCTGCTGGCACGTGGTGACTCTCTTTCCGCTCGTCCTAACTCCTGTCTAGCCCAAGGATTCTATTCCCTTACTACCAAGTGAAGGTTGCAGCCACTGCTCAGCTTCCACTGTCTCAAAGTCACCTGCTGGTAGGGTTCAGTCAGGTGAGGAGCCCCAAACCTGCCCTGCTGATGTCACCCTGAGGGCATGGTTTCCTGCAACAGGGTGGGAAATCATAAAGCTGTGAGCTTCACTATGGTCATTGTATCTCATGTAACCTCATCCATGATGTCTGCAGAAATGGCAATGGGCCCGTGCAGTTTGGTGCATGTCAGGTCATTTCCAGACAGAGTCCTGAGGTGATAAACTCAGTATGTAGACACTCCTGCAGCTCTGGCCGGCCCACTCCCTGGGAGCTCTGGTCCCAGCCTTGCAGCATAAGAGTAGCCCAAAGTCCAGGATGGTCCCTTCACCTTGGCCCAAAGCAGCATCCTATTCTCTGAGCACTCCAGAGTTCATCTGTGCCTCACAGAATCTCTGGGTTATCTCAGAATGCCTGGGCCTGTAATAGCCAGATGTGTGACAGGAAGGAAACAAAAACCAGGAGCAACAAGGTCTTCTCATTTAGAAAAGTATAAATTTGTCACCATGTCATTTATTCCTACAAATGGCATTTAAAATTGCTAGATGTAGTTAAGTATCTCAATGCAGTTAGTGATTAAAATATATGGCAGATGTTTGCACTCTTTTAAAATGTACTATGGCAAAATACATTGCCACTAATCCCCTTCAAAATACTCCCCATTGATTGTCACACTATCCCACTATTTTTATTCCCATCCTTCTTGCTGCTTTCTGAAGCAGTTCTGGAAATCCTCTTTCGTGTCTTTGCAATTTGTGATTAAAAGAGGATTCAGCATGGCTGAATAAGGAGCCATGTTGGAGATACTCAGAGAAAATCAGCACAATTAAAAACAGTGAACGCTACTGCTGAGTGTCATCTGAGGAAAGGTGGGCTCACGGAAGTATCACAGTGAGTCCTCACCACCTATTCACTGGACTGGCACCGTGTCACTTCTGGCTCTCCTGCATGCCAAAATGCTCATCAAAGACATCATGTCAAATCAGTTCAGGACATTGAGGCCACAGTTGCAACTAAAGACCTTCACAAAAGAGGACTTTTAGACCTCCTTCACAGTGGCAAGAACGTTGGGATAACTGTGTTGGAAGTGAGGGAAATTAATGACAACGTGCCTTTGGCTGAAAGAACTTTTTAAAATTTAAGCATTTATAATATTTCAGTCAAACCTCATGTAATAGTGTGAAACCCACAGTAGAGAAGTTGAAATTATAGTTGTTCATTTTCTTTCTTTATAAAGTAGAACCTTTAAGGACCCAGTTAATAAAAATATACTTAAACAACATCTAGGGTGACAGAGCACTTTCATAGGTATTATCTTACTTGATTTTCACAGACCTGGCCAGAGAGGAAGCTGAGTTGACTGCCCAGACCAAACCTCAGGACACAGAGGGACCCGGCCTTTCCCCACCTTGTCACCTACCTTGGAAGCTTCTAGGCCTGAGAACCAAATGGGAAAGACTTAACAGTTGCAAGGTCCAGAAAGGATAGACTATGCCTGAGTGTGTCTGTTCCCTGGGCCTCAGCTCTGTGTCCCCCTCCTGGGTGTAATGAGGCACTTAAAAATCAAAGGCAGGCTTTAGACGCCATGCCTGACCAGCCCAGCTCAAGAGAAGGGAAAGTGCCAGTGCAGAGGTCACAGAAGGCTTCGGCTGACTCCCCAGCAGGTCTTGCAAAACAACAGCTTTTGGAAAGACTGTTTACCATGCAGCAGCCTTGCCCGCATCTGCAGATCTGTTTACCCAAATTCCCACACTTGCTTCTCTGCCTTGGTACCTATGCTGGGAAAGGATGATCAGCTCAGGGCAACAGTTCCACTCCATGGACTGGCTCCTCCAGACACCAGAGTGCCACTTTGGGGAACTTGGGGTTATCTCAGAATCCCAACAAATTAGGCCTCTTCCTGATAGCTCAGGTTGGCCCTCAGCAAGTTCAGTAGGATTCCAGTGTGACTGACCCAAATATTTCCTTCTCAGTTTGCACATCTGTTCTGAGTTGCCTCAAGCTGCAGTGACAGCACCCTGGGGGTGTCACTTGTATTTGGAATGGTGAGCCATCACAGTGTTCCAGCTGCAGTCTGTGCCTCTGCTATCGGGACAGAAGAGGGACCTAAATAAAATTGCCCCTCAAAGTCAAGAGGCCAGCAGCGCACGACATGCCTGCCCGCATGATCCACCTGTGGCCAGTGGCCAGTCAGAGCTGCAGTGAAGGAACGCACCGGTCCCCTCCCCCTCGATTCTCCCAGACTCTCCTGACTGAAGGTGCAGAGACAATGTTCCTGTACCCCTCCAGGGCTCTGCCTCTGCCACCAGGTCTTACCCTGCACCTCCCTGATCACATCACAGCCCCGTCCATGTGACCACCACCCCATCCTGTGGGCCTGACACCAGCACAGGCTTGCGATCAGTTTCCACTACTTACAGCATTAGAGCAGAGTTTGAGTCTGACAGTAAATAATTTACCAGTTTAGGACTTAGCTGGCTTACACTGCAGCACTAAGGGCTCCCACAGTGCTAGCCAAGGCTGCTCCCTCACTCCTCAGCAAGCTTGCAGAGAGCAGAGCAGGGCCGATTCTCCTGGCCTCCCCATCTTCCACCTGTTCTCACACAGGAGACAGTTGTACCCGCTGATCAGGGAGGGCTTGGCATATGCAACAGGCTGGCTTTTTCCCTTTCTTGCATGTGTGTCAGCTTCTTTTCTACCTCGTAGATTCTAATACCTGTCATGGGCTCAGGCGTCCCACTTTCCTAACTGCCCCAGTAGTTTATCTGTCAGAGCCACCAATGCCAAGGTAATTGGAACCTTCTTTGCTGTGGCCTTTCCTCAGCAAAGGAAGGAGGAAGAGGAAAGGCAGCACTCACAGGACGCCATCTGCACTGATGTGGAGGTGCTCCCACCCTGTGGGGATGACCACGGCGCTCTTGCTACAGGTTCCGTGAACAGCGGGGGCTGCCACTTGGAAGGGAGTGGCACTTATAAATAAGGGAGCCAACCTCCGACTTTCTGTTGTTCTTCTTGTTGTTATTTTGTTTTGAGACATAGTCCCACTATGTAGCACAAGCTGGACTCAAACTCACTAACAGTCCTCCTGCCTCAGTCTTCAGACTGTTGGAATTACAGGTGTGTATCACCACACCTGCTCTCCCCATTAATTTTAGAAGTTGCCACACTTGAGAAAAGTCTACTTTTTTTACTGGCAATGCTTTTATTTATTGATGTTTATAGAATTGTTTATAATTTTTATGTAAGCATGGAGACCTTTCAGAGAAATCAAATAGTGAAATGAGAAAAGCTGCAGTCTTTAATTTGATGCTGCTTACTTACGAAATGATGAAGAAAAAGACCAAGGATTCCTGCCTCCCTTGTACTCCTGGTGGCTGCTCTGTCCCTGACCTTGTAGGTAGAGACCAGAGGATTGGATCCCTTGACCTCTGACAAAGTGAAGGGTGCTCCCAGCCTGAGGACCAGCAATGGCCATCTGGGGTGCTGAGCGTGACCCTTACCCCTGGAGAGCCAGGAGAGCCAGGGCCATCTGCTCCCCTCAGCCCATCATTTCTGGAGGCATACTCATAGACTCTGGAGTAGGTGGCATTACTCTAGACTGGAAAGCAGAACTGTCACCTCAGCCTTTCCTTACCCTGTTTTAAAAATTTAAATGATTCTGTCGAAGCCTAGAGAACTAGAATCCTTGGATATTTTCTTCACATTTGACCTGAAGGAACAAGCCTTTTGTCCTACTGGGTTTGTTCCATGGACTATTGCTTGAAATTAACAGGTTATTGACTAAAACCTGGATACCTCAAGAGACTGAATTAATGCTATTTGGAGTAACAGGATCTGATGGCACTAAAATTTCCACCAATGCACTGCATTTTTGTATATCCTATCAAGTCTGAGTTAAAAACAAGGGATTCTACAAGAACTGTAAAGAAATTTCCACTTCCGAGTTAATGAACCCCCTGCTTGGTCATGAGCCAGAGGACTACCAAGGCCTCTTCTCTGTCTCATTATTGGCCCTTGAGGTAAAAGGAACAAGAAGGACATAGTTAGAGGAGTAGTCAAGGAGGCTTTCATGTGCTCGCTTCGGCGGCACATATACTAAAAAAAGGAGGCTTTCATTTGCACCACCCTCATTCAGCAAGATGAAGTCATGGCCCCGTGCTAAAGGTCGTAGAACAGATCAGTGAAACAGGGTTTGGGGAGCTATTCTAAATGAAGAGTGAGTATCCAAACCTTAGTTAAAGTGAGAGAGAAGGAAGTTTTCTGAAATTAGCAAAGAGCCTGTTTTATAAACAGAATAAGTGAATATGTGGATTTTTTAAATTTTAAAATTTACTACAGTTAAAGACACACTGCTTTTGCTCCCATCAGAATACTACTTCTCACTTTGAACACATTAGCCCAGCATTCTTGAAGGTTCTTTATCCCATTTTTAAGCAGTATAATAAAAAATGCAGTGAATGTTCCTGCTGATTGCCAGCCCCTGGGAAGACAGGTTCATAAAAACATAACAGTATGTCCTCATCCACCTTATTCACCAGATCTGGCACCATGAAATTTGTGGTCCTGCCAAAATCAAAATGACCATAAAAAATAAACATTTTGAATCCACTGAAGACATTGAGGAGCCATGACAGCGCACCTGAAGACCCCAGTGAAAGTGGGCATCCAGCCAAAGGATGGGCTGAGTGATTTGAAGTGGGGAGTATTTTCAGAGGATTAATGCATTGTGACTTTTACTATAATAAAAACACATTCACCATATTATTTCGATCATGCAGCATAGATGGACAGCTAAGAGTGGGGCTCTGGCTCAGGATCCTTGGATTCAAATTCAGTCCCAACCACTTAACAGCTATGTGACCTTGGAAAACTTCTTAACTTGTATGCCTCCATGCCCTCTTGTAGAAAGTGAGAAGATAAGTCCCAGCTGCCAGGGCTATGGACAGTAAATGATTTCATATAAAGGAGGCTCTAGGAAGCAGTCAAGATAGAGTAGGCATAAGAGAAGTAAGTGCTATATCAATTACCGCCTGCCTTAAATACATACATTGAGCATATTGAATTATTATTAAATAATTGAGGCTGAGGATATAGCTCAGCAGCACAGCACTTTCCAGGTAAGCACAACGTCCTGAGTTTGATTCCTGGTACTCCCCCCCCCAAAAAAAAATAATAATTGTTATTGAAAGCAAAAACATAGAGAGGGGCTTCCTCTTCCCTTTTTGCACCCCAGTTGACTGAAAGTTTGCTGCCTAAACAAGCTCCCTCTCCTGAGGCCGTACTTCCCTGTAGAGGTGTCATCTTTTTTCAGAAGAAAGGCAAATGGGCAAAGCTAGTGAAGTCTTAAGTGTTTGGTAAATTGCATGAATCTTGAACATTGTGTTTTGATAAATGTTTCACATAAGCAACTTTAAATGTACTTAGATAATTGTGGTAAATAAATGTATAGTAAAAAATTTTGTAACAGGGATTTATTTTCAATCCACATAAAACTGGGTTCCAGATTGGGGTTTCATTATCCGAGGACTTTTAAGCTCTGTCCTTCACAAGGACTTTTGTTATTTCAGGTGCAATTGCTGGAATAGTCGATCAGCCGATGCAGAACTTCCAGAAGACGTCCGAGGCCCAGGCTTCAGCAGGACACAAGGCCAAGGGCGTTATCTCGGGTGTGGGGAAAGGAATCATGGGGGTGTTCACAAAGCCCATTGGAGGAGCTGCTGAGCTTGTGTCACAGACTGGCTACGGTAAGGAGGCGGGAAATTGGCCTTGGACTTTACTGGTGTGTTTGCATTATGATACCAGAGCCTCTTACACAGGGAAAGGGGTGAAAAATAATGGATAAATCATAGCTGTCTTTCTTGCCTTCCTGTGCTTGTTTACACAGAGTACAATTGTGCTCCTAGTAGAAAGTAATAAAACTGTAGAGGCAGAAAATGAGTTATTAGAATTAGTAATTTCATTACTATAGTGTTTTTCTGTGTCACAGGATCTTTGTTATAGTGTACTTAATAAAAGCAAGGCATGGCAATGCATGCCTGCAGTCCCAGCACTCAGGAAACTGAGGCAGGAGGATCACAGTGAGTTTGAAGCCAGCCTGGATTATATAATGAGTTCAAGGCCAACCCAAACTATATAGCAACACCTTGTCTCATAAATAAAGCTAGGGATATAGCCCAGTGCTACAAGCATCTGCCTGGCAAGCACAAGGTCCTGAGTTTTATTCCTGGTACAAAAACAAATAAAATAAAATACTTTAATGAACACTAACCAGTTAGAGATTGAGGGCAGCATGGAGAATATATTGCAGCAAGGAATGATTAAATTGTTCCCTATAAAAGGCTGCCTACAGGCAGGAAGAACTCTGTGGGCAGCAGTTGTCTGTGAAGGAGAGCATTGCATTTGTGTGCACATCCCTGGGTCTGGAGTGGTTTCTCTGCAGTCCCACTGGGCCGTGGGCAGCCAGGCTGATTCCTGTGGTCAGCAGAGGCAAAGGACCATGGTCTGATGCTCAGAGCCCCTTCTCCAAGTAGACAGCTGTAGAGACCTGCGGCTTGTGGCACTACTTAGGCCTGGATGGCGGTGCTTGGGCCGGGCCACACATCAGTGTGCACATGGGGAGTGGCTGGCATGAGGCGGCTCCTCCTGCTATACTTACGCTCTGTGCTCTTGGCAGAGAACATCATCTCCACTAGGCATGGCCAGGATCAACCTTTTCTTACCTAAACTGATACCACTTTGGCACAAAACGGCTAACTGTACCTCACCTGCAGGAGAGCTCGCCCACTTGTCTGACGCCCAGCATTCTGCATCTGCCCCTAGCACCTCACTACCCCATCCTGGGATGGAGCAGGAGACCTGAAGCTGCTGCAGCATTCTCAGAGACCACACTGATGGAGCCGAGTCCCTCTGCTCCACCCTCTCTCCCTGTCCTGTGAATGATATGTTGCCTCCAGGGAAACCAAAATAAAAACTGCCACAGCTTGTAAGGGAGAAAGTTGAACTCTTTCTTACCAAATGGTTAGGCCTCACACATGAATAAAAACAGTATTCCTTTGGCTACAGACTCCAGTGAGGTAAAGGCAACTCATCTTTCATAAATCCTTTGATGTTGAAAGTGCTGTTGTCCCTCGTGGTGTTTCCCAGGACTGGGAACTCTGCCTTGCATAAGAGCATCTCTGAGCAGAGCTTCACATGGTTTTCTTGGTTTCCATCATTCTTGTAAAACTTTTATTACCACACTGAAGGTTTTACAAACCACTAACTCTTAGTCTAATGACTGTGCCTCGTTTATGAACATTTACAAGCCCCAGAAAGCACACATGCTGTACCATCTTTGGTTCTGGAGTCTCTGCAGAGGCCTGTGTGGCTGCCACTGGGTGCCCTCATTTGGAGCCGGCCCCAGGAGAGCATGTAATAAAGCCGAAGCTGAGAGCTCTCATAAATGTATATGGAATCATATGTAACAGCTGGATTAAGTCACTTACCATTTAAATACTGTATCTAGGCAAACCATGTGCCTTTGTGTGTATCTGTGTATATTGTGTATTCTTTTTGTCTGACCATACAGCACAGACACAGAACAAGTACTGGAGTAGTAAGCAAGGAAGTCAACTAGTAGTGTTGCCTTTTTAACACATAAATTCTAAGCGATGTGCAAGCTGTAGTTGGTGACCAGCTGCTGTCAGGAGTGCTGTGCTACCTGTGTTAGTCTGCTTCTGTAGCATATTCATATTGTAGTTTCTGGCAGTTTAAGATCACATGGTGACTACTATGGTGTAGTGGTTATCTGGGCACTTGCTACCATTATTTTGGCTCTGTAATAGTTAATGGCGCCCTCTCAGCAGATGAGGTCACTGTAGCATGGAACCGTTTTCCAGGAATCAAGTAGTAAAACTCCTTCACTTCTTTTTTTTTTACAGGTATTTTACATGGAGCTGGACTTTCTCAGCTTCCCAAACAGCGCTATCAGCCAAGTGATCGACCCGCTGACCAGGCTCCAAACAGCCATGTCAAATATGTCTGGTAAATTACTAGGATACTTGTTCCATTTTACATCCACAGTGCATGTTAGTAGCATCTGGGGCAGGTGCCCAGGAGGAACAGCTGTCCTTGACACTGGTGCAGGGCATCGGAGCAGCCGGGGCCAGGCTGCTAATCCCAGGTTTGGGACTGTCTGCAGAACTCTATTCTGTGATAACTGCTCAGGAAGGTCTCACGCTGGCTGAACAGCCTGGGCCTGTGAAGCCAGCGCTCTCTGGAGAAGCAGCATTCTAATTAGGGACTATCATTTCTGATGGAAAAAGGAGCTAAACCTTACTGGTGAAAGGAAATTTTTGTCCCTAGGAGGAACTAGGTCTGTTGACCAGAATTAAACTGATACTGCAAGCTAAGGTAATCATCAGAAGGGTGATGACTCTGCCGTTGGGAGCTCTGTGTTGGGTTCCCCCTATAATTGTAAGCAGTGAGCACCAGTGAGTAACTGTCTTTACCAATCTGGCTCCTAGCCTGACTTTTCTCCTCTTAAACAGGAAAATGCTCCAGTCTCTGGGCAGACCAGAAGTCCACATGGCCCTGGATGTGATGCTGGTGAGGGGCTCAGGCCAGGAGTATGAAGGGTGCTTGCTCCTGACATCAGAGGTGCTCTTCGTGGTGAGCGTTAGTGAGGACACACAGCAGCAGGCCTTCCCTGTTACTGAAATCGAATGTGCACAGGACAGCAAGCAGAAGCACCTGCTCACCGTGCAGCTCAAGCAGCCAAGAGTGGCCTGCGATGTGGAGGTACGCTTCAGACAACAGGGTTCCCACAGCCAGCTGCCAGAGAAGTCAGGACACAGGCTGACATCTGTGACCCGCAGGTGGCTGCTGGAGACCAGAAATCTATAAGGATGATGGTGGCAATGGGCGTGGGGGTGCACTGTGGAAGGAGTTGGAAAGATGCACTCAGGTGTGCATGTTAGCCCTGCACAAGAGCCAAGCAGGTGCTAGAGGGACTCCGGCCTAGGCCCAAGCTGTGTGAGTCTCACAAGCTGCTAGCAGCATAGGCTGGGAGCTGAACTAGATGGGACAGTGGAGCTCCCAAATGTGAGACAGCTGGTGCATGGAAGGGCAAAGAACTGCAGGGCTTGCTGGCAGCTGCCCCTCAAAAACGCCCCTGGTCTCCATGGACCTGGGAGTAGCTGCAGCTGGTCTGGGGGTACAGGAAGGGACTGCTGAGTGAGGGGCATCATGAGGCAAGGGCAGGCTGCACAGACTTCTTCCCTCTGTTCGTTCCCCCAAGCCCAACCCAAGAGATTTCAGGGGTCAAACTGTTGTGAATACGTCTTCCTCCTACACAATGAATGTATTCTGTAGCAGTGCCCCTTTCCCATAGTGCAATTTCCTGTCTATAAGTAACACTGAGTACTTCCTGGGGACAGTGCTTGGCCTCTTGGGCCCGCTTCCTGGCTCCACAGCTCCTGAGATGTACTGGCTGCTGGCTGTGGCTCTAGGCAGACATACAGTGACATGGAAAGGATGCTGTTGAGTGGCATGTGTGGAGTAGCCACTGAGAAATGATTCCACCCCAGCTCCCAGGTGGTAGCCTGCTCCAAGGGGTCAGCTCCATGCTGACCCTAAAACAGGCATCTTTTTCCATGTGGCAGGATGGATGATCAGTGACAAGCTGGAGTCTATTAGTCTTACCTGGGGACCAAGTGGCCCCAGCAAAGGACAGCAAATCCTGATTCCTTTTCATTATTATTTTCCTTGATATGGGAGCCTGTGTCTCGCTCACACCACTGTTTGGGTAAAAATTATCAGAGATGGAAAGTGGCCAACCACAACAACTCTAAGATTTCTCTAGTTTCTTGGATCATAATCAGTCAAGGCTTTAAACTGGGGCTTGGCACCAGGACTGCAGTGCTGCTTTGAGTAGATGACTTGTGGGGAATAAACAGAGGTCAGATATCCAGCCTGACTTTATTACATCTGCCAAAAATCTTCTGACCCAGTTGACAATAAAGCAGTGGTGATCTGGTTACAGGATCTGGCAGAGGATAGTAGCATTATCTTTATGTCCTTAGTCTTTAATGAGAAACCTCCAAGACCCCAAGAATATGTGTGACCATAGTTTTTCCTTAGTAGGCTTGGGAAATACTTCAGATCTCAAATTGACAGTGGAGATTCATCTCTTGCTGTTAAACTATCTTTCACTGTGATCCTTGTCTGTTGCACTTGTTTGAGAAGGGTACTGAGACATGTCATTGTGGGAGGAAAGAGACCTACTTCTCCAGGGGCAACTGAGACAGAGAGGCAACACCCATACATGTTGCCAAGGTTATGACCATGGAATCATTGAGTTAGACATGAATGCACTGAAGCTCTAGACACCACACTCAATAAAGGTTTTCCTTTGATGTCCAGGAATAAAAGAGGGTTAGGACTAAGGAATGGCTAAAACACAGGCAGGGTACACAGGAGCACTGCAAGACACCCATTAAAGAAAAGCAGTGAGCACACCCAGCAGCAACAGCAGTGCCGGGGGGGGGGGGGGGGGGGAGCGCAGGCAGGCACCCACCTTCTTTTATCTCTTCCACCTTGTCTCTCCCCGCAGTTCATAAAAACAGTAACTGCTGCCTAATCCTGAGTCCAGGACCTCAACCTCCCACTCACCCCCCCCAAAAAAAAACCTCAAGCTGCAGAGCACTTGTGAGTCCTTCATACTCCAACCCAGTGTGTCTTAGTGTGGGAGCAGAGGGTTGCCCTGCTGTGGTCAGGGCCTCCCAACATCATGCAGACCTGAAGCTGGCTGGGAAGCCTACCTGCTATGTGCCTGTGAAAATGAAGAGCAGTGTGTTCAATTCTTTATATAAAATGGCTTTAAGAAGCTAGGAAACAGCTCTTTTGGATCTTGGAAGGAACTAATTTGTAGATGACATCACTCAGCATATTTAAGTATGGCAAGATTTGAAATTTTTTTTAAAGCAGCGTTTGCTTTTCTTGGTTTAATGCAGCCATTTTTAGGGGTAATAATTGCTTAATATGCCTGGCACATTATTGAAATCCCTTATGAGAGGTTCAAAATGAGTCAGAAGGTCAATTTATTCCTTGGCCAGGTTCCTTTCACAACACAGGCTTTCCTGTGCTGCTGTTCAGGAGGAGCAATTAAGACTTTGTGTATTCAGAACTTTCCAGCTGAATTCCGGCCCCATCAAGTGGTATCAGAGCTCTGGCTTCTGCCTGGTGGTGCACAACTTCCATCTGTCTTAAGTCTTTGGAGGCCTTCATTTTCTTCCTCAAGCTTAAAAATAGGAGATCTGAACTCTGACAATGCCAAGCTGAATCCTCTAGCAGACCCCTTTACTATCTCTGCCATCTCAGTGGCTTTTGCAGCTTTTGACTCTTTTGACTGCATTGTTTCTGGGCCCTACACAGAAATATAAAATTCTTCACGGTGCCTCTTTTTTGACAACTAAAACCTTAGTGAAACTGCATTTCTTCCAGAATGGTCTAGCTGACACTCAGTAAGTAGGAACCACCTCAAGGTCAGTAGCTACTTGCTGCTCACAGATGGGTGGCTTGTGCTGCAAACTTCCCACTCCGCTTCATCTACACACTAGATAGCAAGAAGACGTGGGTGAGAAGAATTTATAGCTCCAGCTGCCTTTGATGGGCACTCTCAGAAAATCTCACTCACGAACCTAGGTAGTATATCTCAGTTCTCCTACGCATTTCTACTGAAGATGAGCCAGACGTTTATGAACCATAAATGTACTCTGCATCCTCCCTTCCATAAAAATTTCCCCTTCCTCTGCCCAGTCTATTTTCTCTGGCTTTAAATCCTAGCATTTATAAAAACAGAAAATGTTAACAGTTCAAAAGGTTTTTTTGGTGTTTTTTTTTAAATCTCTGCCCACAGCCACTGGTTTCAATGAAATGCTCTTTTCTACTTTTCTGTCAGGCTGCAGAGGTTTTATCTGAGGTTTACAAAGCCTGCCTAACTGAGCTTTTATTTCAGAATGCCAAGTATAAGGGTGACTAGATTTAGAGAAGACATTTTTAATTGTTCCTGGAATACTTTGATAAACAGCAATAACAGTATTTTAATAGTACAATATTATCAAATTGTCAACTTCAAACATGGGTATTGTTTGAATAAGCACTAGGTGCTTATTCAGAGGAGGCTTTCTTAATATTCTTATGCAGAGCTGTTGTTATACTGCTAAAACTGCTGTGCTATTGCTCATCTCAGAGGAAAAATAAAAGGAGACACTGTTTTGAACAAATGGCTGTAACAGATGAGCCAAGAGGCACAGTATCCAAATGTATCAAGAAAAAAATAAGTGTACTGCAGAAGTCTATTATAAGGGTTTAGCAGCTAATGAATGTGTCTTTGGCTTGCAGGTGGATGGAGTCCGAGAGAGACTGTCAGAGCAACAATACAACAGACTTGTGGACTACATTGCAAAGACATCTTGTCACCTGGCCCCCAGCTGCTCTTCCACACAAACACCGTGCCCAGTGGTGGCTGTGGAACCTCCCTCCTCCACTGTTAAAGAGTACCATTATTTGGCTGACCCACACTTTGCTCAGGTCTTCATTAGTAAATTTACCATGGTAAAGAATAAAGCCCTGAGGAGAGGGTTCCCATGAGTCCCCACTAAGGTTTGGATTTCTAATTATGCCATTTTTTGAAACAAGCAACTTAGTATTACTCTAACATTCAACATGGACCCAAAAAGGCCAACACTCTTCTAGTTATAATTTACTAGCCACTTATACAATTATTAAATTCTTACCCAAATTTTCCCCCCAAAATTATATTAAGATGGGCCAAAATGTTCCGTCCCATTAGGAAACAACGGAATCTTGTATATGCTGTATTTCGACCAAAAATGCATCCCTTTTGCTCTACCATACCAAATTTCCATACTATAGCTGTTACTGCTCTAATACAAAAAGTGATTAGTCCTTACAGTGCAGAGAAGAGTTAAAAGCTTTATTTCCAGTTGCATCCATTGGGAGGAGGCTGAGAAACCGCAGCCTAATAGGTCATGTCTACTAAGTTTGGATTCTTGAAGTGCTTAGGGTCCTGTTGCTTGTCCCTTAGCTGCTATAATGCTGTTCTTTAGCAAAAACTGCTATGTACTTGCCCTCCCAAATCTGTATTGTATTAAAAGTAGTGTACATCTTACGTCTGTTGAGGTACATTTTAAAAAAGTTTTTTTCCCCCAATTTGTATTTTACTGAAGTATATCCCCTTGGTATAAGCCAATGAAAATAAGACAACATGCTCAGATTAGTTTATTTCTAGGAATTTATTGGTACTCGAGGGGAATCCAGATCCCCAATATTAATGATGTCAGTCCAGTTTCCTCCGCTGAGGTAAGGCATGAAGATATTCCCAATTATCTTCACATCATTTTATATCCAAGAATAGGTCTGACTCAAGAATCTTACTTAGGGCAGGCAGCATATACCTTAAAACGTTCGGTAAATATCTCATGGTCCAATTCATCGAAATGTGTCTACTGATTAATCTACTTTTGAACTTGGGCCTATAACTTTGTACCTACAAATGTGAAATGCTAGGAAACAATTTCAGAGACTCACTCATCTCTAGGTCCCAACAGGCTGGTGACTAGTCACTACATCACTGTGCCTGGCAAGGAAGACTTCATGGAGAATGCGGGCTGAATATGAAGAAAGGCTTGTTTGCTCACTTTAAAAAAGTGAGCTTGTCAACTTCAAAGTAACTATTTTTTAAGAATGTAAATATATACTAATTCTTGTATGTTTTATAGTAATTTTGCATACTGTTATATAAAATTATTTAAAAGGAAACAGTTTGTTCTCGGGGAGGTGGGTCTCAGTGCTAGGATCAAATTTAAGGCCTCCTACAAGCTAGACAAGTGCCTACTGCCAAGCTGCACGGCTGGCACAGGTTTCCTTGAATTACAGACCATACATGAATACTGTTAAACATTTTTACTCAGTTCTCATCATGTGACTCAATTCTGTACAAGTTAAAAAGGGTAAGATACGCTTTTCTTAATCCATGATTAACCTAACTTTGGATAAATGTACCTTTAAAGCTTTTTGTTGTATCACTTTAATTTTTAAACAGCAGTTAACGAACAGATTCTGAAAAGGTTGCCACACTGCTTGTTATTAGCAGACACTACTCAAGTCAAAGGACCATTTTTTTAGATACATTCTGATTCTACGAGATATGACTGAAAACTACAGTAGACGTTAAAAAAATAAATACAACAAATGACACACTGCCATTAACTCCCTCAAATGCCTACCATTCACTGTGAACTAACTTTTTTGTGACACATTTCTGGAGTTCTCATGATTGCACAACCCTGGCTGCTTAGATGTCCTGAACCAATGCAAAATGTGTACATTGCATGGGCATTTTGACTTTGGAACAGTCAGAAGCCACGTGGTGCCAAATCAAATGGATAAGAACACAACATATGACCCTTTCATGACCCTGCCTTTCTGGATGAATAGCATTCTACAACAGCACTCACCTAACTTTTAATCATTTTTAATCATACCTCAATGACACAAAAGAGGACTTGTAGAATGATGGGATAAGTGTGTTCCAAACAAAGGGGACTATTCTGAAGGGAGCTAGTGGCAAAGTATCTGTCACTCTAGCAAATGATTATTCTCAGCCAGGCATGGTGATATACACATGTGATCCCAAGCTCTCGGGAGGCAGAGGCAGGAGCTCACTGTGTATCCCAGGAGTTTAAGGCCAGCCTGGGCCACACAGTGAGCTCAAGGCCAACCGGAACTATATACCAAGACCTTGTCTTTAAAAACAAAATGCATTCACTGTATATTTTGATCACTCTGTTTATATCAGTTTAATAAAGCAATTTTAAGTATTTCTCAGTAATTCATTTTGATTTTCACTTATTTGACAGGAGCAGGGCTATCAAATAATGCCAACAAAATTCAAGCACAAGAATTCATTGGCAGGACTGTCTCTGTCCCTCCTACAGATCCCCACAAAGCCAGGATCTAGGAGGACCTTAATTTTAAATACTTCATTATCTCCCATAAAATAATCTCCAGTCAGTTATAATGTTTTGTAAGAGATCTAAATTATCAATAAGAGTAACTGCACAAAGTTTTACTGTCCACACAAGTGTTTATTTGTCATGAGAATCCTAAGTATTCCTTAGCCCACATATTCATGTTTCATAGTTCAGGAACACTGATCAGCAACAAATGCCTATGGAACCCAATCCAAAGAAACCTGTGGAGAGAGAGAATGACTAAGTCAGTGATAAACATTCTGAGAACCGACCATCTCTTTAAGATCAACTGATGCATGTCCTTAGGCGCAGACCCATGTTCTGGTCACTCCAGCTCCCAGAAGTCCACTCCTGGACAGCTGGGCTCTAGGCTGACTTTCCTCCAAACTGCCCCACCACTCTCACAGACTCTTCCATTCTGAGCATACCACACCTTAACTCTTTTATGCTTTAACAGCTTTTTCTTTCTCAAGTCTGATTCCCTCATTCTCTCTCATATCTATATAGTGCCCTTAACTTTAAAGTTAAAACACTACTGCTATGCATTATAAACACAACTATTAGTATTTCCTTAAGTCACCTCTTCTGTCTTTATCTGTACAATTACTAACAGGTCATTCTGTATATGACATTCTTAGTTTTCTACAGTTTATGCCATTTTATGAATATTGATAATGGACTGCCCTGAAGGCATTCGGAGCAAAAAAAAAAAAAAATCCTTCTGCCTTTGGGGGGCCTGCCCCTTAGCTCAGTTCT